GGAGGGATGTCTTGTGGTGACGGAGGATGGATAGGGAGAGTTTGTTGGAGTAAAACATTGATCAAGGTCTGGTTTTGCTCGGTCAAACGGTTGATGCTGTTGGCGAGCTCCGTGAAGTACAAATGTGGGTTGTTTGGGTTAGAAGGCTCTGCTTGGGGGTCGATGACATTATGTTGAGAAGCCATGGATCTTGTTGTAACCATCCACGCCGACGGGAGGGAAGGAAAAGTAACTGGGCATGGGTCTCTGGCAACAATGAGCACAACTATCAACCGGAGTTGTGATTCTCACAGACGGCGCCAACTAATGATACTGTAAACTTGGAGGATGGAAGGGCCAGATTGATCCACACTTTAGATAGGTCTGTTGGGCTTATTATTCGCATAATACACCTGTAAAAATGGTCTAATGAGGGGAAGTCCCCCGGCGGACACTCTGACGATCAAGTTAGTTCAAGGCAAGGAGGTTTTTCTAGAGAGATAATGTACGAGATGAGTAAGAAAAAACTTAACCTATGTCGTTCTTTTGAAGCCTTTTATCTTTTTCATTCATCATTTCCTTGCCCCTTTCCAACTGTCTCGTCGGCCGTAAGTCTAAGGTTTAGCTGACCTCGTTCACGGTGAGCCTGTTTTCTCCGAGGTGAAGGTGCTACCGCATTTAATGCTACTAGGGTCTCATTAATGGCTGATATATGGGTGTAATAACTTTGCAAATCTTTGTCTGCTTAGGTCGATGGTTCCCTACTTGGCCCCTTTCGCGGTCGGTCCTCTTCACGGTCAATCCTCTCACTTAGCCCCCTATCGCGGTCAGTCCTTCTCACGGTCAGTCCTCTCGCTCGGCCCCCTTCGCGGTCGATCCTCTTCACGGTCGATCCTCTCGTTCGGCCCCCTTCGCAATCGACCCTCTTCACAGTTGGTCCTCTCGTTAGGCCCCCTTCGTGGTCGGCCCTCTTTACGATTGGTCCTCTTGCTAGGCCCTCTTCGCAGTCGGAGCTCCTCGCGGTCAGTCCTTTCATTCGGCTCCCTTCGTGGTCGGTCCTCTCGTTCGGCGCCCTTCGCAGTCGGTCATCCTCACGGTCGATCCTCTCGCTCAGCTCCCTTTGTGGTCGGCCCTCCTCACAGTCAATCCTCTCGCTCGGCCTCCTTCGCGATCGACCCTCTTCTTGGTCGATCTCCAGCTCAGCCCTTCCGCTCGACTACCTCCACAGTAGGTCATCCCCTTTGGCTTGGGAGGACCCTTCCCATGTTCCTTCTTATTCCCTTTGTTGGACTAAAACTGCACTCGGGAATGGAGGACTACTGACATCGGTGGGCCCACAAAAGGTTTTGGCCCATGACTTAGAGCCCAATTCACGGTCCAAGTACTAAAGCCCAGCACCCTTGAGAACCCAATGTTGAACCAGGAACCAATGACATCTAAACACTTGTCAAGTAGGCAACCAATCACATAAGCAGACAAAGATTTGCAAAGTTATTACACCTATACATTAGCCATTAATGAGACCCTGGTAGCATTAAATGCGGCAGCCCCTTCACGTCGGAGAAAACAAGCTCACCGTAAACGATCAGCTAAACCTTAGACATACGGCCGACAAGACAACTGGGAAGGGACAAGGAAATGATGAATGAAAAAGGTAAAATGTTTCAAAAGAATAACATAGGTTAAGTTTTCTCTCACCTCTTTCGTGCATTATCTCTCTAGAAAAACCTCATTGCCTTGAACTAACTTGATCGTCGGAGTGTTCGCTGGGGGACTTCCCCTCATTGAACCATTTTTGCAGGTGTATTGTGCGAACTATAAGCCCAACAGACCTATCTGAAGTGCGGATCAATCTGGCTCATCCATCCTCCAAGTTTACAATATCATCAAATAGAAACACACACACACACACACACACACACACAATATGTGTAACTCATGCCATGTTTGGAATGCTATTTTTTTATTAAAAAGTCAAGGAATTAAAGAGTACTAAAATATGTTTAGGGTAAATTACACTGATACGCCCTGAGATTTATGTTTATTACAGTTCCCTCCTCACATTTGGAATATTATACTGAGCCCCCTGTTAATTTAATTTTATGTATGATAATCATTACGGTGAGAGGGGGAACTATTATGAGACTTTAAAATTCGGGGGCAATCTGTAATGAAATTTTAAACCTCAGGGAGAAAAATGTAATTTCTAAAAAGTGAGGAAAAAATTGTAATAAATATAAATTTCAAGAGGTGTTAATGTAATTTATCCATATATTTAATATGTATTAAAAATAAAAAGTTAGAAAATCTTGGGGAAATTACCCATAGGTCCCATGGGAAATATGTGATCTCCATTTAATCCCATAACTTTTTCACTGCACCCAAAAGTCCTTTCCTCTCTCTCTCTGCTTTTTGCTTCCCTCCCTCTCTCGTTTTTTTTTCTACATTTTTCTGTCACCGTGTTTGTCATGGAAGAGGACCACCGATGATCATATCTTTCTCCATTGATCGGGGTTCATTGATAACCACCAAGCATTGAAATCAACTCCGACGAAGAAGATGATATATTTTCCGACGAAGAAGATGAATGGATCTACTTAGATCTGATATAGATCTACTCAGATCTACATCAGATCTGAGTAGATCTACACAGATTTGGTTAGACATCCGTCTTTCCCCTTCGATCTTTTTTTTTTTTTTTCTCTCTCTCTGCTATACACTTCTGTTTTTCTGTTCTAATGGAGAAAATTTTCGAATTCTGAACAAGCAGTTTTCGAGTTTTAGTTACAGGCGGTGAAAACTGTAAAATTTTGCAGTTTCAATTTTTTTTTTGGTGCTGGTATGAATCATGGTTTAAAACTGTAAAATTTTGCAGTTTTATAACATTCTTTAGAACTGTAAAATTTTACAGTTTCATAACATGTTTTTTAATTTTTTTTTTCCGGCAATATTCTATACATTCCGGTGAGTCTCCGGCGACCGTTAAACGGAAGTCCGACGGTAGTAAGATGTGAACAGTGTCTATAAATTTAAAAAAAAAAAAGGATTTTTTGGTAACAATTAAAAATGTGTTGGACTAATTGGTGCAAGTATTTTGTTTTGGGATTAGTTGGGTTTTGAACTTATTACATGGGACTTATCAGTAAGTTCCCCGAAAATGTTTATATACCAATTTGAAAAGATCAAACAGTTCTTGTGAGCAAGTGCCTTTGGAAGGATAAAACGCAAAATTTAAGTAACAAACAAAAATATGACATCAGTTGTTCCCATTTTCCATACAATTAATACATTCCAAAATACATGAACTTTTTCTTATCTCTTAAAAAAGTCAAAAAATAATTAAAAATTAATTTTAAACGCTCTTTTTTTCAAAATAATAATAATAATAATAGTTAAAACTTACTTAATCTTATTTATTTTTTATTTTTTTAAAAATTATTTTAAAATAAAATTATCAATTATTGTTTAATCTCATGTATAGAAAGGGTTACATGCCACTTAGAATATATAAGATAACTCTCTCTCTTCCCCTCTCATGTCTTCTTTAAATCATTTAAAAAAGTCAAAAAATAATTAAAAATTAATTTTAAACGCTCTTTTTTTCAAAATAATAATAATAATAATAGTTAAAACTTACTTAATCTTATTTATTTTTTATTTTTTTAAAAATTATTTTAAAATAAAATTATCAATTATTGTTTAATCTCATGTATAGAAAGGGTTATATGCCACTTAGAATATATAAGATAACTCTCTCTCTTCCACTCTCATGTCTTCTTTAAATCATCAACTAATTATCTTTTTTATATATCACTTGATTTTAAAAGTGAGCCTAAATGGACTTCTATATCATTTTCCATTTTGTTAAAAAAATTTCACGTAAGTTTTAATTAATTAATGAATAATAATATACAAACAAAAAAATTCATACATAATAATGATGTGACTTAATGAGGATCATTCACTTTAAAACAAAACAATGAAATAAGTTTATTTACAATAATAGTATTATCACATCATTCTTGTGGAATTTTACGTATAAATTTTATGTATGGTTAGAATTTCATATATATAGTCATGTACGGTTGAGTCTTTAAGGTTGTGTTTGGTTCTTGAATTTGAAAAAGAAATAGAAAAAAGTGTGTGAAGTATAGTTGTATTGGACCAAGGGATGGTGTTGTGACTAAGTCATAGCAGCGTGTCGTAGTGTCTCGATGGGGGCTTTTTTTGAGTATTTTTTTGATAATCCGAACCGTTTATATGATAGAGTTTGTTGAATAAATCATTTATATAAAAAATTAAATTGATTGGACGTATATAACTCAGTAACAAAATCACATTTTTTAAATAAAAAAAAATACGGTTAACGTGATCTTGGTAATTTTTTTATAAATAATTATAATATGACCATAGGGTTGTAGATTTTCGATTGACTTGGATTTTTGTATGAACGGTATACTCGATGAACCTTATAATATGAACGGTTCGAATTATTGAAAAAGACTTATGAAAAGCTCCCATTAGGGCACCACAGCACTCTCCTGTGACTAATGTTACTGCAAGATTTCCTAATTCAGTTGTGTTTCATTCATATCTTACTTATATTTTTTCTTTTTATTTTCAAATTCATACGTAAATCTTTGAATAAAAAACATCGAAAGTTTCTCTTATATAAAAATAACGTTGAAGTAGGTCTAATTTACTTCTTAACACCCCCCCGGGTCATGTTTCTTTTCATTTGTTTTTTTGTTTTTTCTTTTTCTCAATTAAAGGGTAAGGATCATTAGTCTTCAAGTAATTGGAATTTTTTTTCCCCTTCATGTTTTAACCACAGGTTTCTCCTCTATCTCTCCGCTATTTTAGCTGTAAAAAAATATTAGGTTTCATAATCACACAACACAATAATAATATTATATATGCACACTTGACTTTACCATGAACAAAATCCATTTATTTGATTGAAAATCAGATTGCTGTCAATCAAACACACGTGGGGGCATTCGTGCTTGAACATGGATGTAAAAAAAAAAATACACAAATCAAAACTCGTGTGTTGTACACTGGAAAAACAAAAAAAAAGAAAGAAGGTACATAAAAACTACTGATCATATATATATCACATAGCCACAGGACCAACAGGTAGGAATATGTACAGAGAGAGAGAGAGAGAGAATTATCAATGATCAAAAAGAGACAAGAAAGGAAAGAGTTAGTTGGGGGTGTTGAGATGGAAAAGAAAGAAGCTTTGGAGGGTAGTGAGATCAGCTCTGTAGTGGGTTTGAGTGAAATGTAACAAATCTGACCATGTGAAATCTGGATACTTCCTTGGCCCTTCATCTCCTCCTTCTCTGTCAATTAGATCCTGTGGAGGACTCACCACTTTGTCTTCTCTTGGGCACACAAAGTATGCCAGTGATCTTCTCTCTCTCTCCTTGTTCACCACTGCCCTATGCATGCAACTCTTGTATCTTCCATTACATAATGCCTACATATCAAACAAAACCGCCCACATTATAACTCTCTTTTTCTTTTCATTTTATTTATTGCCATATATATAACAAACAATCATACTCCACACTCTGCAATTATGTTGAGTTCTAAACTCTTTACAAGATCAGAGTTAGAGAGATAGATTGCACGATTAGATAGATTTATGGACAAAGGAGCACCGTGGTATAGTGGATTGTTTTCTTTAAAGCAAAAGAAAGTACAAACATGCCTATATACCCATATGCACACTGGCATACAATCTTCCATGAATGTTCTTATTAAATAGGATGAATTCTATATGTAAATGTGTGATACTTATTATGTGTACGTGTAGAATAAAATAATAAAATGTATATGGTGACAAATAAATTTTTTTTTCGATTATCGAACAAATTGGATCTAGTGGTTTGAGCCATTTTGGAATAAATCATAGTTACTAAGAAAAACTTATAGTTAAAAAAACACATGTTTGAACATCAACTAGTGTGTTAAACTCACAATTGTTGTGAACAACAACAAAATAAATAAATAAATAAACTGAAAAGAGAAAAAGGGTAATTTACTAATTTGTAAGTGTCAAGAGCTTGCTCACAAGCGCACAAGCACACCAAAAAATAAAAAATAAAAAAAAAGTTTGTAGGGACGGACCCAAAAGACTGTCGCTAGAACCAATTTGTACCAATTTGATGAATTGTAGGACTTGTGCATTTTGAACATGAACATTTTATTTATTTATTTTTTTTATTTTATTTTAATCCAAGAAAAGTTGACTAATGTGTTAAAACAGCTACAATACAACACATTGAAGTGGGCACCCTCTTGTAATATCACTTGTCTTTTCAGGAAAAAAAAAACTTGTCAACATCTCAATTATATTGTTATTTTTAACCAAAAAATTATTGTCATGAGTTACTTGTCAGTGCCATATATCTGTCTTTCTTGTTGAACTGATATACTCATAATCAAGTCATAGTTTAGCTCTGATGACTTAATGGGTTGTATCAAAATAATTTGTAGCATTATTAACATCAACATAAGAAAGACTTGGCAGCATTACCCACATATAATTTTAAATATTGGTTGATACTAGTTGTATTAATAGGATCTTAGTCTATTGATATTAAATTTTTTGATATATTGACTGGTATTGTCTAATATCTGCCAATGTATTATTGTATTATCAATACTGATACGTATATTCTCATAAAGATATTTAAAATCATGATTATCGATGACTGAAAGGTTAGGTAGTTAGCCTACCATGAATGTGTCACCAATGTTAATGACAAGGGCATCTGGGCGAGGTCGAACACCCTGCCATTTGTTATCAGCAAAAACTTCGAGGCCTCCAACTTCGTCCTGATGAAGAATTGTTAATGACGTTGGATCGCAGTGAGGTCCTGTGCCGAGGGTGAGGCCAGGTTCTTTGCAAGGTGGATAATAGTTGCACCTCATTATTGAACTACCATCTGCAAAGAATTTCCTGTAGTGTAATCGCTCGATTCCCAGGCTAATCGCTAAGAGCTCCATAAGCGCTAGTGATAATCGCCTCATTTCTTCACAGTATCTTTCAAAAATCAACCTGGAAATGAAAATGTTTTGCATATATACTTTAATTATGTTGAAACGATAATTAACAGTGCAGGTGAAAAATATAGTAAAGTTGCTTGAAAGATTTAACTTCCAATAGTCCCACTATAGTGATTTTTGTTGGCATGTTACACTTGGACTGGTAAAGAATAAAAAGAAATGGAGATAATACAAACACAGTAACAGGACAGGCTGTAAAATTAGGAACAAGAGGTGACAATATAATTCAATAACAGTATCATAATATTGACCACACAATTCAAGAATTTATGTTTGATTACTCCGCTTGTGTTGTGTTTAATGTCTAATCTTTTATAAAAGCCCAGATAAAGGAGAAGGGTTGTATGCTAGGTAGGTTGACAATCAGCACCTAAAACTTCTTATCGAATCCCTTATGAACATGAATCCTAATACCTCATGATAGAGCTAAATGACGAAAAAAAATATTCATGTAATCAGTATTACTTAATTGGGATACAACACTTTTTTGAGTTTGGTTTGGCTATGAATGAAGGAAGACCATTTACTAGTCGCGGCACGTGACTTTAATAAGTGAAAAAGAGAATAAAAAAAAAACAAGTAAGCATACATACACGTGATAGACATATTAGTGTTGCTATAAACACAAAAAATAGTCACAAAAACAAAACAGAAGGCATATGAATGGACAAAATTTTGTAGACCAACTTCTAAAAGATTTTGATCATTCATATATATGCTGTAATCAGTTTCTGTGTTCCTATATGTTTAAATTTACAATAAAAGTTACAAGTTAAGCTCACCCTGTCTCTTTAAAATCATCTCCCAGGATAGATTTGAAGTAATCCACCACCACAGGGCCATTGCCATGGTAGCCAAAAGACAAGGTCTCCTTCCATGGCAGTTTAGACTTGAACCGGTCAGCATGGGCACCCGAATACCCACATACGCTGCCCGGTTTTCTGCGAGCTCTAAGCTTCTTGTTAATGGGCAGCTTGAAAAAAGCATCCATGTGATCATGGGCAGCTCGAATGAGGCCTTTGTCGACGCCATGGTTAGTAACTTGGAAGAAGCCATGGTTGAGGCAGGCGGTCTTAACAAGCTTGGCAGCACATGAGGTTGCAGCCTCATCTCCTTTAAAGAAACCCTCTAGATCTACTAGGGGTTCACTCAGCTCTTCTTGAGTGTGTAATAAGTCTTTGTGTGGCCAAATGAACTCTGTTGGCAAGGTTGGTTGCTTTTGTAGCAAAGATGTGTCAAAATATAGAACCTTTTTCTCTCTCTCATCTTTGATCTCTATTGGAGGAGGACATAGAAGAAGAGTTGGGGAACTTGAGTCCATTGGGAAAGACACATTCTCAATTGAGTGTTGTAACCCAATGAAGCTATTTATAGAAGAACTTACAGGTAGGAAACAAAAGTACTTGGAGCTAAGGAACAACAGAGAGAACCTAAAATAACATATCGAATTGAGAAATGGAATTTATCACAGAATTTATTTTAATATTTTATTTTCCGTCTCATCTCATGTGTATTTATACAAAAATAAAAAAAATTATGTATCTATACGGCTTATAATAATTAGAAAAGACTTAAAAAAAAGTTAGGAATACAAAAACTATAAATGATTTTGAGTCCTACATTATATGGGATCCATGGTGTCTGTGACTCATTATGTGTTAGGTTCAGTCTATTACTCACTTTTTCAGAAATTGAGACTTGCCATGTAACAAGAAAAATAACAAAGGAGATGGAAATTTCTAGCAAACTATTTTGATAAGAGAGCAGCTTCTCTAGTCAAGTCTGGCCCACCGTGGGCCCATTTTGGGCTTGACAATCCGAAATGTTAATCTTGTGGGGCATGTGGAGCAAATTATACATATGGAATTAAATTTGTTTGAAAAATAATTAACGCTAAGCATATTTTAAAAACTAGTGGGTGGCACACACGATGTGTGTGCAATTTAAATAAGTAGGAATAAAAAATAATAATAATAAAATTAGTATTATAATGTGTGCTTAGCTTAAGTGGTATGAGTCCTCGTACTTAAACCCATAGTCATGGGTTAAAACCTTGCCCATCTCTTTGTTTAACTTTTTTTTAAAAAATAAAAAATACTGCCACATGGCATGAGGAGGAGAGTAAAGCTTCAGGATGCCACATGGCATGAGGAGGAGAGTAAAGTTTCAGGATACCAAAATTCCTGTTCACTTTATAATAGTATAGATAGATAGATAGATAATCTATCTAAATTTTTTTTTAATCAAATATGATTTAATTAAATAATTACTGATATCAATATGATTTTTGATATGAATACTCTATTCATCAGGATTTACAAGAGAAACCGAGCCCATTTCTAAGAATGGACCGAACTGGAGAGAAGTTGCTTTCTTTTAATAATATATGGTGCAATATTGATCTGGCTCTCCTTTTTACAACAAGAAGACACATTAGCAAAATCTATAATTCAACAGCTTGAGTTTAAAATTAAAGAAAAATAACTTCCAAGTATTGCTTTTTTCTTTTTCCTTTTTAAATCACATATCTTAATAAGCATCATTTTAATTTAACTTTGAACATAAATTGGATGACTACAAAAATATTTGATTTTTAGTTTTCAAAAATAATTTTCTGAATTTTCAATTCGTATTTTTATATTTTTAATAATTTTTTAAAAATATTTTAGTCCATTTTTTTTTTTAATTTTTAGATTCACTTAATCTTAATATACTTAAAAAGTGATGAAAAAATTGTACAAAAATCTTAAAAAAATTATTCAATACAACAATATACGAAAATGTATTGAATTTTTTGTACTTTTTTGTATTTGGTGAATTTTTTAAAGTTTTTTTTTTTTAACAAACATGATATACTTTTTAAGCGTATTTGGATTAGGTATATCTAAAAAAATAAAAAATATATATGTAAAATATTAAAAAAATTATTAAAAATTAAAAAAAATTAAAAAAACTTAATTTTCACTACGCCAAAACAGGGCATTAACGGCGGTTTTCGTTATCGTCGTTAATACCGCCGTTAATGTATCTTTAACGACGGTTTCGTTACCGCCGTTTAAAAAACCGCCGCTGAAGTATCTTTAACGGCAGTAATGAAACCGTTGTTAAAATAACCGCCACTAAAGTCCTCTTTTAACGGCGGTAACGAAACCGCTGCTAAAGCCCTCTCATTACCGCCGTTAATGACGGCGGTTTTGCCGGCGAAGCTCCGGCGAGTGGTGACCACGTGCGGCTAGAGATTGAACATGACCATCTACAATAAAGCAAAAGTAATGTTTAAATATCTGTTTAGGGAATATATTTTATATAGAGTGGCTGTGGTGGAGTGGTTGGTGTGCGTGGTTCAGAGGTCAAGGGTTTGAGACCTGAGGAGTGCAAGAAGAGAGAGTTATTTTTTAAAAAATTTGAACCTATTTACGGCGGTAAAGAACCGCCATTTTTGGTTTTATATTACTGTCATTTTTGGTCAACTTTTAACAACGATAATTTACCCTTTTACGACGGTTGTACATTTTTTGACACGAGTATAAATGGCGGTCCTAAATTACCGTCGTTAAAGGTTTTAATAGCAATTTTACATCCTTTAACGGCGGTAAAAAACTGCCGCTAAAATCTAATTTTGGCATAATATTTATGGAACCAAACAGGATGATTGGTGTCCAAGGCCTGCCTGGTGACATTGGGTTAAGACATAAGTACTTGTAAAGTGATGTCGGAGATTTAACTCCCTTAGATACTGATTTTTGAGAAAGTAAAAACTATGGCTGAGTGATTTATAGTAGCCATGCCTATGTTGAATTTGGGAAGAGTAGTTTTGTGAGAGTGAAAAGGATTTTGGAGAGAGAGAGAGAGAGAGAGAGAGGAGGGAGAGAGGAGTGAAGAGAAAGGCCAAGGCCGTCCCATTGGAAAGGTCGAAGAAGAATAGAGATGTTAAGGAGCCAACAACTGGGACGAGTGACGCCCTTTTTAACCCTTTGGTCACTGTCTCAATAATCAAATACAAATACAAATAAAACACTCCCATGTACCTGTCTCTTTCCTTTCTTTCTCCCTTTTCTTGTCTCTTCTCCTAATTCAATTTTGCTTATAACTTGTCCCAAGGGCCCCCACCCCTATTTATACATACCCATATATATATATATATATACACACTAGTGGATATATGCTCACCAGATGGATGTATTTATTACTAAATTTGTAAAATATAAATTTTGATTTTAAATTAAAAATACATATAATGCTTGTTACTTAAGTTGTAAGGATATTATTAAGATCTTACGTTCAAATCTTATTTACTTTGTCATATACTTTTTTTCTATTTTTCTTTTTGATAGAGAAAAAACCAACTTGGCAAAAAGAAAGAGCACACCACTATGGAGAGATTTGAAAAATTAAATTAAATTTATAGCATAACTACCCATATAACTTATATGGAGATATTTCAAAAATATTTAAAATATGAGACATAAATATATCAAAAGAAAACTTCTAATAAACGCTAAGAGAAGGCTTCTCTTTATAATAATATAGATTAATAATTAATATATATATATATATATATTTTTTTGTGTCTAGATGCATGCACAAATGCTTTTTACTAAAATCTGTCAAGTCTTATCTATAAAATTTTCATTTGGCTTTGAGCTCAATTTTACATTACTTTTGGATCCTTTTCAACATTGAAAGTAACACAACGCGTCAAAATTACTCCCTAGGCTTATGTTTTAACTTGGAACTTCACTACTAGAAAAGTGACTTTTTGTTACTGACTATTTGACCGTCGCAAAAATTAATAGTTGCAATAGTAACCTTGATAATTTTTTCTTTTATTTATTTTGCCCTTTTTCTTATACCTATGCCTTGATAGAGACTGATTTCCCCCTAGACTCTCCTTTCTCCTAAATCTGATTTCTCACGATCGTGTCTGAGTAAGGAAATCTTATTTCCCTCACTCAATTTCGCTCTATAGATCACCATGGTCGTCTGAAGAAGAGACTTTTAACAGTATGAACTCTCTCTCTCTCTCTCTCTCTCTCTCTCTCTCTCTCTCTCTCTCTCTCTCTCTCCTCTCTGTGAGTCTCTTCGAATCATTCATTCGTACTTCAACTTCTTCGTCTTTCTACTTCGATCACTTGTTTCTTATCATCTGAACTCACTCACAACCATAGATCACCTTTCGATGAAGCTTTGGTTTGAATCAGTCCTTCCTCATCTACTTCAAGTACAAGCTGAACCATTCAATTCTTGATTGTGTATTTTCTGTGTTGCGAAAATGATGAACTTGCTCTGAACTTGCTTGATTTCAGTTCTGAATTCGAATTATTATTATTATTTTTTGTTATGTTAGATTGGAGCATGTGTGTGGATTTTAACTTATAGTCGTATTGTGGTGAATTTCATATGTGCTTTGTAGAAGACTAAAGAATTTGATCTAAGCATTGATTTTTTTGTGCTGTGAAAATAATGAATGTGTATTTTCTATATCCAAATTTCAGTCATCTCTTATGTAATTTGCTTGACAATAGATTCGGACCTTATAGCGTTTGATAAATAACAAAATTGGATAGATTATATACCTGCTCAATCCAATCCTTTATTGTTTATATATTTGATATATTCAATGAGTTAATCTTTTTTTCTGTTCGATGATGTAACGCCTCCAAAATAAATGCAACTAATCCAACTCATAAGAGAAGTGTGTATGATAGAATTGATATACTTTCATTCATCAAAGTTCGTATGACAAAAGATAACACGTGCAGTATACATTCATAAATGTTCATCTTGAATCTATAGCATGTAATACCAGTTAGTAATTAACAAAATAAATGTCCTACGGGTTTATATCTTTCCAAAACATTGCTTAGTTACAGCAAAAAGAAGAGTCTAATTCAATACAACTTAGCCCTTGGCTATACAAAATAAATAAAATAAAAGGAAGCTCTTGCTCTAAGTTTCTCCAAACTACTGTCTCGGCGAAGCCATGTCTTCAACACCTGAAAATGGTTCCCAAGGAGGGTGAGCCAAAGCCTAGTAAAAACATACTAACATAATATATAAGAATTAACAAGGTATAAGTATGATGCACATGTTCATCGTCCTACAACAAAATCTTTATAATTCTTTCCAAAACATGTTATGCCAAACTCGCATCTAAATTCATTGATTTTGGTTCGATAGACACCTCCACTGTATTTAACCCATCAACAAAGGATACACCTCATAAGTTTCCAATAGATAAAATCATCATACAAATACATTCACTTCTATTCACCATTTTATGAACATTTTGTCTGCGGGAATCGTCACCCATGTATAATCATGATTTTTGGACTTTCACCCTGGACGCTCCGGTCAACTTAATTCAATGTAGTCCATCCCTTATCTCCTCCCAAACATGGAGTATATCCCCTATCTCCTCCCAAACATCATACATATGCAATGTAATTAAAGACATA